TTTTTTTTTTCCCCCCCCAAAGGAGGGGGGGGGGCAAACCGGCCCCCTTTTTTTTGGGAAGAACTTCTTTTTGAAAAGTTTGTGGGGGGGATTTTCTTCCCCCCCCTGGTTTTTTTTGGGGGGCGGGGGTTTTTTAGAGGGACGGGGGGGGCCCCTTTTTCCGGGGGGGGGGGGGGGCCCCCCTTTTCCTATAAAAGGGGGGGCCGGGGGGAGGCCCCCGAATTTTAATTTTCCTTTTTTTTTTTCGCGGGGCCCCCCCCCCCCTTTTGGAGGCCGCCGCTTCCTTTGGGGTTCCCCCCTTCGGCTTCTTTTTTTTTTCCCCCCCTGGGGGGGCTTTTCCGGTAACCTCCCTGGCAATTTTTTCTTTTACCGCTTTCCCCGGGGTTGTCCCCTCCCTCCCCGCTTGGACCGCCTCCCCTTCAGGGGCTTTTTTTTTTTTTGCCCCCCCCCCCCCCCATTTTGCCGCCTCCCCTACCGACCCCCCCTCGCCCCCCCGACCCCGCCACCTCCACCGCCTCTTTGGCCGTTCCCCCTCCTACCTCCGCCGTTCCCCCCCCCCCCCCAAGCCGCCGTTTCCCTAATCCTCTCTCTCGCCGCCCCTACTACCGCCGCCTCCCTCAGTCATACCATCGTTACGCAAGCATGCGCGACGCTGCCTCTTCGCGCTGCTCGCTCGCGGCTAGAGTTGGTCAAAGGGGCCAAGCAGGGTGATGATGACAAAAGACTTTGCAGCATGATGGTGCATGGGCTGCGCCCAGACGACGTGATCGTGAGCATTGGTAGCAACAACGAGTTTGGCTTTGAGGAGCAGATGCTTGCCTGTACAACAAGTCACATCGCGACATTTGATTGTACAGTTGCCAATGCAACCAACAAGCCAGACAACTCGCGGGTATCCTTTCATCCGTATTGCATTGGACCTGCCGACACGGAGCATGCTCGCACCTGGACATCCATTTCGGAGCTTGCGCTCAGAGCAGCACGATTGCACAGCGGTGGTGCTGTGGATATCGATCAGGCTCGCCCGCCGCCCCGCATCGCCATCCTAAAAATGGATGTTGAAGGGTGGGAGTGGGTTGTACTGGAGCAGGTGACGAGGGCAGCATCGGTGCGGAGCAGCTTGCCCCAGCAGATAGCCGTTGAGGTTCACCTCAAGACCCACGCGTCAATGGGCGTACCTGGCTTCAACAAGGGTGACCTGCCCAGCAAAGGGCTGAAGCTTCGTCAGCTGCGTGAGCGCATGACGTTGGCTGGCTACGCTCTCATCGACCGCAACGACAACCCCTGGTGCGGTCACTGCAGTGAGCTGCTCTTCGTGCTTCATGAGTGAGTTAGAATTTTACAACAAAAGTCTCTCGTACACGCCTGAGCCCCCTGGTCTGACAGCCGCCTGACCGCAGCAAACCCCGGACAGCGCCTGACAGTGCCCGACAGCCTGACAGCGCTGACAGCACTTTCTCCGACAGCCTGACAGCACGTATCTGACAGCCTGACAGCAGAGTCTGACAGGCGAGGTGCTCCGTCGCTGTCAGGCCCTAACGTGACAGCCTGACAGCTGCCCGACAGCCCGACAGCACACAGTGGCCTGACAGCAGCGCTGACAGCCTGACAGCAGCACAGACGCACAGCAGGTGAGTGTGGTCCATGTGGTCATGGGATGGTCTCATGGGTCTCTCTGACTCTCAACCCTCCCGCCTCACCTCTGCGGACCCCTAGCACCGGCGGCTGTGCTACTACAAATGAAGCTACCAGCTAGCCTTCTGGGGCCACAGTATGTGCCTACGGCGTCTGGGTGGGGGTGGCCGCCGCCGCTTGTGCCGCCGCCGCGGCCTGCGCCTGCGCCGCCATCTGCGCTCCCCAGGAGACCTACTGTGTGGATCTACTCTCACTGGCTGCGGTCTCCTCTTGTTGATAGTGTCATAAGTGTGGCTGGTGAGTGTCAGAGCCTGACAGCACCCCAACAGCACCACCTGACAGCACCTGACAGCACCGGCCCTACGTCTGACAGCAGCTGCAGCCTGACAGCTCTGACAGCTCCGACAGCGTCTGACAGCACCACCCGACAGCTCCGACAGCACCTGACAGCACCAGAGCACCTCGCCTGTCAGACGAGCACCGGACAGCACCCGACAGCACTGACAGCACCTGACAGCTGGTCTGACAGAGGCACCTGACAGTGCCTGACAGTGCCCGACACCGCCCGACAGATCACCTGACAGCACCTGCCAGCCTAACAGCCAGGGCTCAGGTACACGCACGCACACACGCACGATTCACTCAACAGGCAAAGAGCGCGGACGACGGCTTCTATCGGACGACGGACTGCAGAAGATCGGACAGGAGTGGGACGCGTCCAAAATATGTACAAAAAAATCACTCGATCTTTACCGGGATAGGAACTGTATTTGGTGATATTTTAGCCCCCGCACCCGGGTGCACTCGTGTGTGTGAGTGAGTGTGTGTGTGTGTGTGCGACGAGCGGCAGCGGGGGGCCATGACTACCTACGTTAAGAGAGAGATTTTTAGCAATACCAAACAACGTTTACGAAAACATAAGTAGTCGCGCGAGCTGTGAGCGTCTCGAGCTCAGCCACTCGGACGACGAGGACGCCTGGCGGTTGGCGCCCGCAATATCAGTTGGCCCCCTATCTGGTAACGAGCCAGAACCCAGGCATCCCCCCTTTTCACCCTTGGGGTTTTGCCGTCGTCCCTGGGCAGCTGTGTGCAGGGGCCCGCCCCGCACACAGCGGGTCCCCAAGGGTGAATCCCCCTTGCGCTCCCCCCTACTCGTCGCCCTGAATGGTTGCCCAGGTTGTGGAGGACACGATCCCGGCGTGAACACGACTATCTGACGGATCCGCTCCTGACAGTGGCACGCACCGCGCTGTGGCGCGTGCCACTGTCTTTGTTTGAAGTCAAAAGTCGAATCAGAGCGGTGTCGGCGTTGTCCTCCATTTTCCTCCCCTGGACCCCCGTCCGGGATCGCTCCGGGACGCACGCCGGCGAAGCACCATCAAGCTGCTGTATGTACGGCCCCGGCATCGCCTCCCCTGGCTTAGCTAGACTGAGAGATATTGTGCACACGATCTGTCTCTTCAATATATACACTGACACTTTACCTCCCATAGCTCGTCCCGGTCCGCCACGGCCATCCTTGGCCTCCGGAGGCCCCCCCCCCCCCCCGGCCGCGGCGCGGTGCGGCGGCGTCACAAATCCGACCGCAGAGCACCAGGACGCGGTCGGGCGATCTGAGGTCCAACTAGGCGTATGCATTGCCCATCCAGGGCTATCACCTGGACCCATCAACAGGCGCCTGCGGCGCCGTGGTCAAGAGGTGTTGTTCATGTTAAACAAACTTTAGTTTGTGCTAGTGAACTGAGGAGAAGCGGGTCGAGCCTCGGCGCAGTGAGAGGGCAGCGCCTAGCGGGCGGGAACCCTTATCCCGCGCCCGCCGCTGCCCGCCACTTTGTGCGCGGGACATCCGAGCGCCACGAGGCTCCTGACACAGCTCCCGACTAGCGTCGGCTCCTGCTCAGACAGGCGCCAACCTATCTGCTATCAGTTCTCAAAGCGAGATGGTCTTCCAGCTGCCAACCCTCGCGGACACGACGCCCCAGGACGCCACGCGCGCCGCGCGGCGAGCTGGCCAGCATGAACCCAAGCGATTTCCACACGAGCCTCGAGACCGGTGACACCCTCATCCTGGAGAAGAACTCCACCAAGAGCATCGCCTTCACCACAGCATCAGCGCTGGGGAGGGAGGAGGCCAGGATCGGCCCCGGCAGCCGGGCACCCCCCGCCACGGGGCCGACAAGCTCACGGCTCTGCAGGGTCGTCGAGAAAGGGACAGTGGGCCTCCCCCGACAGCCGGTCGGCAAGTGGCGCAGCTCGCCCACGACGGGCGCGCGCGCGAAGATCACACCTCCTTCGACACCGGCGAGGACGGCGTCACCACCGTCAAGCTCGCCGTCATCGTCGCGGAGGGGGACGACGAGGCGGCAATCGAGATGCCGATATCCGAGTTCTCTCCTCCTACCCCGCGGGCGCCGACGCCGACGTCGACGCCGCCGACACTTCACACCTGGGCAGGCATTCATGCGGCACCGGACCGTAGTAGTACGAAGGGGAGCAAGTGCCGCCATGTCCTTCCTCTCGCATATTTCGCGACGGATGCTCGGCAACGGATTGGAGGGCGCTGCATCCTACTTCGACACGGCACGCGCGCTATTACGCACAGCGCGCTCAGGCCCCGGTCACACGACACTCCCCGAACTGCTCACGCCCACGCTTGCAGGCCGAGCAGCTGCCAGTCGGCACCATATCCGCCGAGGCGTACACCAGCCGCGCCATCTGCTGGCGCGTCCTCGCGAAGCGGCTCGACTGGCGCAGCTTCGGGTGGGCCCCCGAGGACGACGCTGCCGGTATCGGGACTCTTGACTTGAGGACGCTGCAGGGCTACTCAGGGCAAACCACCGGCGAGGTGAGCCGTCGCCCTACCCTCGCACCACACCCATATCATTTTTCACGCGTGCGACTTGCCTCCTTGCCTCCAGGCAGCGGTGCTAGAGACGTGGGCTGCCGCGGTCGGGCTCGAGCGGCTGCCCGCTCCGATCGGGCGCACAGCCTTGCTCTCTCTCCCTTGCATTCCCTCACATCGTCCGACCCGTCCTCCATTGTTGTCAGCGGACGCCGTTCCTTACACACCTTGCGCACTGTCGTCAGGTGGGCTCTGCTGCTCATCGACACGGCCCTTGTCATGCGATGGGCGGGCTCACCGCTCGATTCCGCATCGCCGCCGAGCCTGGACGCCTACCCTCGGTCTTGCCTACCCACGTTCCCCGGGGGTTATGCCGAGGTGTGGTGTCGAGATTTGCCCCCCCCCCCCCCCCTCGTGCAGGTACCCCGCATACCCGGAGGCCGACTCGCAGGCGATGGGAGGCAACGGGGAGGGAGGTCGGCCGAGCCACCACCCAGCTTGGCTTCCTCTCGCCCTGCAGATGGCGTTGACCGGAGAGGAGTGCCCTCACCCTCGGCTTGCCCCTCCCGCTTCCGCCCATCCCTGAGCCCCTTTGAGCGCCTGTGTAGGAGTCCGCCTCCGTAACCGTCTTTCCCTTCAACATGCTCGTGTCCTCGCCTTCTGCGTCCTCCCACTTTCGGCTGTCCAGCCAGGTTAAGTGGCCGCCGCTGCCACCCCCGAGCGACGAGTCGCGAGCGGTGGCCCGCAAGCTGGCTGGCTTGTGGGAGCTCACTTCGATGACCAACGATGGGAAGCCCTTCCCTGGCGGCGCAAAGGGGCGCATCTTCTACTCGAAGACGTGGTACTCGGCACAGGTCACGGGGCTCAAGGGCCTCTGGCACTTTGTCTACAGCGGGCGGTGGCACATGCACGAGGGCCGCGTCTACCACGTGTGCTACTGCAACTCGCCGATGGCGTGCTTTGAGGCGCGGGGCAACCGGTGCCGGTTGTGGGCCGGCAGCAGGGCGAGTCCGTAAGCGCGCGGTGTTGAATCAGGTGCTGCAAGACTCGCAGCTCGGCCTCGAGGCGAGCGATGCGTCGCGCCAATCGTACGGCGGCGTGCGGATGCGCGGCGCGAGAGCCAATTCAAATCCTCTGTAGTTTTGGGCGGCGTCTAGGACACACACGCCGCCGCCGCAATTTGTAGGCGCGAGGCTGATGGAGGACGGCACTCTCGAGCTCTCCGTCGAGGATGGGCAGCAGAAGCTCCTGTGCTGGCGCAAGGTTGACAGCTTTTCGGCCGCCTCGGGCGGTCGCTGGGGACCGTCGTGGGAAGGTGAGGGCGCGTGAGGTCTGTGGAGGGGGCACGCCATCGATGTTTCCATTTATCGGTACTCGGATGTGTAGGGCTAGATTTGACATTTGTGACGCAGCCCCCGGAGCATAAAATAAATCCCCTAAACGGCTGTGGTTCCCATATGGGAACTTCGCCAATTCTGTGAAAGAGAAAGCTGATGCGGCTGGTCGCAGCGACGGCCGATCCAGCAGTCGTCTGCGACATGGCAGTGGCCCCGAGTCATGTGCAGCTGGTCCCGAGCGGCTCAGGTCCCAGATCGAATCTCGGACCCACAGATTCTAGATTCCTTTAGATTCCCTGGATTCCCGCAACAACGATCTCTTAGCGGCGGCAAACAGAGGCGCAACTCTGCCAGCAGCGAGGAGGCTCCTGCTGCTCAGCTACCGAGGCCTGGTGGCGTCGGCTGCTGCGTGGAGAAGACAGCAGCACTGTCCGACCTCAAAACATGCACAACAAGCGGGATTTGTGACTCTGTCCTCGATTCTTCAGTCGCTCTGCCGGACGCGCTCGCTTTGTCGCGAGGGTCACCAGTGCAAGCCGTGTGGACGCCCAGAATAGCCTCCCCTGGCTTAGCTAGAGTGAGAGATATTGTGCACGTGGTCAGCCTCTACAATATATACACTGACACTTTACCTCCCAGAGCTCGTCTCGGTCCGCCACGGCCATCCTCAGCCTCCGGAGGGCCCCCGGCCGCGCGCGGCGCGGTGCGGCGGCGTCACAAATCCGACGTCAGTTCACCGGGACGCGATCGGGCGATCTGAAGTCCAACTAGGCGTATGGATTGTCCGCCCAGGGCTATCACCTGGACCCCCCGAAAAAACCTCGGACATTTTACGAACTCCTTGGCGACGTGCGCGTCGCGTCGCCAAGGCTCTGCGACCTCGGTCGTACAATCGGCGACCTCGGTCGCACAACCGGCCGGATGCGCGGGTTTTCAGCCAGGTTCCCGCGCACCGGCCACAAACTCGACTCGCACAGCAAAAAAATCCGGTGCTCGCGCGCTGCTCCCACGCTTGACCACACACTCGCTGCACTGCTCAAAGCCAACCCTACCTCACTGGCCGCCTCCAACACTGTCCCGCGCGTCTCGCGCCCCAACTGACAACTCATCTCCCGCGCACCGGCCACGAACTCGACTCGCACAGCAAAAAAATCCGGTGCTCGGGCGCCGCTCCCACGCTTGACTACACACTCGCTGCACCGCTCAAAGCCAACCCTACCTCACTGGCCGCCTCCGACACTGTCCCGCGCGTCTCGCGCCCCAACTGACAACTCATCATTGTCCCTCGGACACCACTCTCCAGCCGCGCTACCTTCGCCCACCTACCGCTCTCGCATGACATCTCAACAATCCTCATATCTCCAGGCCCAAGACTCCTAACCACTGCCCCTGCTCGCCCAGGACCACGAAGCGCCGCCCGCGCGCCCATTGACCCCCCAATCAGCCCTCTTGCTGTCCCTCAATCCCCACCCGCCAGATGTACTGCCCTCGCCCACCCAATACTCTCACCCTCCTGACCCGGACAGTCCAGGTACAGGAAAAGCGGGGAGCGGGGCCCGATCCAAGGAGCACCCCGTCGGCCCGGGAGGGCTGTGAATTTCGGCGCGAGCGGAAGGCTGCCTGCAGACGCTCAGCCCCCGGCTGAGCTGCCGAATCCTCCCGGCTAATCCCCTGACCTGCCGCCTGAAACGGGACGACATTACACCACCTCACACACACTCCCCCCTCAGGGCTAAGCAGTGCGCAAGTCCACCCGAACTCTAGGCGAGGCGTCGACCACTCCTTCGGAATAGCTCTGTCAGTGGCTGCACTAGACGCCCAGAGATGGCGCGCGGCGCGGGCGGATGACTGGAAGAGAAAATGCGGAGAGGCTAGCTCGCAGGTAGATGTGCTCAGCCAAGGGTAGGGGATGAGGGGAATGTGTCAGTGTGGGGGGTGCACCAACCGCAGAGCGTTGTGTTTTGCCTTTAAGACTTGAACAGTTTTTTTTTATCACCTGGACCCCTCAATGGACGCCTGCGGTGCCGCCCCCACGAGGTGTTGTTCACACCTGTCCAACCATTCGTGCAGCAGGAACGCGCTGTGTGTGGCTGGCAGCAAACTCAAATGACGACGGGTTGCAGCCTCGTAGCTCAACGGCAACATTGTGCATGAGGAAGGCTGATAGAAGTATCACCAGCCACACAACCAACAGCTTCTGGAGAGTATGCGGAGCGCAAGCAGCCGGTGATCAAAGGCGTGTTGCTGTCGGTGGCAGATTGCCAGAGGGACGCCGGCGCCTCGGTGCGTGGCTTCGTCACAATTTTCCACCGCTCAACTTGGAGGCAGTGTGTCTAGTAGCGTGCTACACCTATGACGGCGGACCTCACTGGGGCGCCGACGTGCAACGACCGTCTGCGATCGAAAGACGAAACCGCGTCCCAGGAGCTCGTGCAGAGCGCGCTCCGGAGCTCGGTGGCGGGAAATTTGAAGGGAACGTGGTGGCTTCCCACCGCCTCTGTATGTGCCCAATAAAGTGCTAACACGACCCTCGGGCAGCAGGGGGTATGTGGCGAGCGCACGGAGGCACAGTTAGGCCGCCGTGATATCGCCCTTCCGGGCACCCCGTTTCGGTAGCCGTTTAGGGGATAAGGAGGAGAAAAAGTTGGACCGCAGCGCACAACCTTCAGTTCAGAGGCCCCCACTGACTCGCCACTGCCACACTCCCGGGGTCCCGCACCGCACTGTGTCGCTCGCTCTCCACTCCCTCTCCCGCCACCGTGGTCTGTGCGCCCACCGTGCGGCAGTGCGCGCAGAGCCCGCAGAGAATACGTGGCTGGGTTCACAGCGATTGTAGGAAAACGAAGGGAACACTTGACGGTCGCGGCCTTCCGACTCGCGCCTCCGCCTCACTGGCACTATTGGCAAACCCCGGAAAGTGCGGCAAAAATAAGCGCCTGCACGTGTAGGCGCGCATCTTAGCCAAGGCTCGCGCCTACACGTGTAGGTGCTTGTGTCAGATACGCGCCCACACGTGCAGGTGCGAGCCCTAGCTAACATGAGCGCCTCCACGTGCAGATGCGCATTTGGCAGCTCGAATATAAAAGCGTCTACTCGTGCAGGCGCTCGTTTTAGTAAAGATACGGGCCTACACGTGTGGCCGCGCGTATACCCCCCCCCCCTCCCGGGCAAGTCATGCACTGAGCTCAACTGTCAACCCAAAAAGGACTGCACACGTGTAGACCGCCCAGTCCCCTACCTACCTGACCTCCCACCTCACTGCTCACTCAGCCTTCCACTCGAATACAACCTCTGCGGCCCTCTCCAGCTCTCCTGAGACCTAAGGTGTTAAAAAATGTATCGATCACACACCAAGTGCGTATATCACCTCAAGCCAATGTACGCGGCCACACGTGTAGGCGCGTATCTTAGCTAAAACGAGCGCCTGCACGAGTAGACGCTTATATTCGAGCTGCCAAATGCGCATCTGCACGTGGAGGCGCTCATGTTAGCTAGGGCTCGCACCTGCACGTGTGGGCGCGTATCTGACACAAGCACCTACACGTGTAGGCGCGAGCCTTGGCTAAGATGCGCGCCTACACGTGCACCCGCTTATTTTTGCCGCACTTTCCGGGGTTTGCCGGCACTATTGTAGCCCTGGCCGGTGCGCGTGCTCAGTTGAAGTTCCGGAGTAACTCTCACGGTGACCAAGAAATGTCCACCTCAGAGGCACCTCCGGAGGCAGGCCGCCGCACGCCGGCGACACAGCTCCAGCTGTCGAACTGACCCTCAGCTCCTCTCAGAGCGGGAACTGTGACGAAAGTTGACTGAGGCGGTTGTCAGGAACCATCATACGGATCACATTATGGCTCTCTCATGACGGGAGACCGCCCGACCACTCCTGGGTGGCACTGCCACCGGTGTCGCTCGACGTCCTGTCGACAGCGTGCCGACAGCGACACAGACCATGTGGGACGCGTCGAGTATCGACCTCTACTGCTTACCCAGCCTTCGAGTGTATCCTGGCTGTGGCCCCACACCCACTGGTGTCCATCTCAGAGACCGCAGGAGGTCATGAGGGTCGATGGGAGTGCCAACCCCACAAAGCCTAAAAACCCAGCCCAGTATATATAGCGTATTAGAGCCGTACCTCGCCCCTAAACTGGGCCTGCACACATGACACATCACACAAGCTGCATGCTTGAAGCCGCGCACAAATACCAATTACCATCCGAGAGCCCCGACACGACACGCACGCCTAAGCCCCCCGCCGAGCCCCCAGTCCCCAACCCATCGCCCGCGCACCCACTGCACAACCCGTGTCATCCCGCGAACGCCCACGATCCACGCGACTCACGCGACTCACTCCTTCCAGAAGCGGATCGGCGAAGCGGGGCGTGACGATGAGGCCGCGCGTGGCGATGCCGGCTGGAGCGGTAACGTCTCACCAGCACGGACGCCGCCAACCACCTCGTAGCTTTCATACCGGCGCCGTTGCTCCACCGCGACCCAGCAGATCACTCCCCAAAGAGCGGCGCAAGTGCAAAGGAGGAGGAGGAAGCCCGCACCAAAGGCGCTCATCACGGTCTGGTTGTCAACCTGTGCACTGAAGTGCACCCCGCCCACGCGCGCTTCCATCACGACAGTCTGCGGCGCCGCGAGCGACTTGCCGACCCTCCCGTCGCCCTCCTCACTGCCACGGCTTGCGCCGTCGTGCTTCCAAGCCGCCACGCAGTCGCCTCGGTCGAAGCCGCACGCCGTCACGTTGCATCTCGAGAGGGGGGGGGGGGGATTCAATGGCAAAGAGGACGGCGACCCGGGTGGACAGGGAGTGTGGCGGTCGCGGCGGCGGCGGCGGGGGGGGGGGGGGGGGGGGAAAATTCATGGGGTTTAATGGCAAAAAAGGGGGGGGGGGGGGGGGAAAGTAAAAAGGGGTGGGGGGCCCCCGGGGGGGGGGGGGCCCCCTTTGTGGGCCTGGCCCCCCGGGGAAGACACCAAACCGGGAGAAAACCCCCCCCCCGCGGGGGGTTTGGGGCGCCCAAAGGGGTGGGGCCCCTCCTCTTGAGAGAGAGCCCCCCCCCCCCCCCGGGAAAACCCCCGGGTGGAATCATCGTCGCAAGCGCCGTCGCCGAGCCACGCCGCGGCGCAAGCGGGCGCGCAATCGCCGGTGCAGTCGTCGCCGTCGAAGCCACAGCGTGCCGTGTTGCACTCCTCGTCGCACTCCTTGTCGCCGCGCCACGACTCAACGCAGCCGGGCGCGCACTGGGCGGCGGCGGCGTTGGTGCGCGAGCGCGCGTCGCAATCGCCGCCGTCGTGGCCGCAAGCCTCGGAGTCGCAGCCGGGATCACACTCGCCTAAGGGAGATCTCTTTCCTGGTGCAGACCGACGAGCGGCAGTGGATCAAGGAGCAGGGCAAGCAGGCAATCGCCGTCGCCGAGCCAGTTGCGGGGGCAGTTTGGCGCGCAGAGCGCGCCGACGTTGACAGGGCAGGCGGCGGCGGTGGAGATGGACACCACCCACTCGCAGTGGTGCCTCGTCTGCACGCGTGCCGGGATCTGCGAGCCGAGACCGTGCTCCGCAAGGTTGCACTCCAGCATGAGCAGCAGCGAGTAACGCTGGCCGGGCCTGCACTCATCCCCCTTGCCAAAGATGAGCTGAAGCCCTCTCTCTGGCCGGTCGGCGTCGAGCAGCACCACCTCGGGCTTGGCGGGCGGCCGACCCAGTACCGCGCAGGCCGTGCGCGCCGGCTCGGCGGGTCTCGCGCCGGCGCCGCCGCCCAGGAAGGCTGCCAGAATCGGATCGCCAAACGGGCCGGGAGAGCGCGGCGGAGTGCGCTCGACGAGAATGCCGGGGGCGTGCTCGCCATGGCAGGTGGAGAACTCGCGGCCGCCAGGCGCGTCGGGGCCGCACACGGAGAGCACGAGCGACTGCTGCGGGCCGCTGACAAAGCCGGGAAAGTCGGCCAAGAGATTGCCAAGTCCCGAGTCGAACTTGATTTCGTGCTCCGTCGCGAGCGGGGAGAGGTCGAAGGTGGCACTGTGCGCCTCCGATTTGAAGATGCACCGCGTCGATGGGGCGAGAGCGGAGGCGGCGACACAACTTAGCGTGAGCATAGCGCCTGTTTGTAGCCCGCCGCGGCGCCTAACATCCTTTCTCGAGGTTCTCGAGGTGGATATCCTTTGGCCGCGTTGGGTAGCGAGGATTGGTGTAACCCGAGCCACGGAGGCGTGTTTTCTGACGGCCGACCGTCAGTGCACGGATGGCCCCTTCTCCGACTGCCCCGGCTAGTTCCCGAGGTCGTCGGGTGTGACCCCTTCGTCCCCCGAGACCTAGCGCGGGTGGGTTGGAGGGGGCTCGCCCCGTTCCTCCCCATCGGGCCGCATGAGCGGCCACGCCTCGCAGATTCGTTTTCGCGCCTGGGTCAGGCGCGCGGGGCATCCCCCGGGTCGCTCGACCAGCGATCCGAAGAGTGGCCGCTATGCGAGGGAAAGAGTGGGGCCCTCGGGGTGCGCCTCGTCCGGCCCCCTCCGAATTTTCCTTTGGCGCGAGCGTCTTTCTTTCTTTCGGCCGGTGTTAGCACAGGTATATCGTTGGCAAATCAAGACACAGAGCTCACACAGAATCACAGCGGGAGGAAAGCGGCGAGTCGCAATTCCTGGGGTCCTTGTGGCGGGCCACCCTGTCCAGAGAGGCATGGATGCCTATCTGGGGTCTTTCGACCGAGTCTATGAGTCCTGGCCGCTCCCGGTTGTGGCAGAGGTTATGGAACCAAGCGACGGAGATGGTGCGGGGGTATGGGTGTTCCAGGCTGGGGGTCACTTTCCACAACTTAGCGTGAGCATAGCGCCTGTTTGTAGCCCGCCGCGGCGCCGGTAATATTTTCCTTTGTTGTACGTCTTTCTTTCTTTCTTTCGGCCGGTGTTGGTGCGCGCGGTGGTGGCGGGTGAGCGGGATGTCTGGGGCCCGAGAGAGATGCGTCATGCGTGTGTCTGCCTTGCGTTTGTTTCATATCGAAGGCATAAACAAAAAAATGGAGCTCGGCTAGGGTTGCGCAGCGACAGGAGCGAGTTCGCGCTGCGCTAGGCTCAGACGGCGAGTTCGCGCTGCGCTAGGCTCAGTACGGCGAGTTCGCGCTGTGCGGCCTGGCTGCACCGCTCTAGCAAGAGACTCTAGGCTCTCCTCTTGCGAAGATTTTATCTCTCGGCTGCGTTGGCTCGCCAAAGTCTTGTTGTTCTCGATGGCTGCTCGATGGCGCTGGGTGATGCTCCGATAAACCCTCCGGATCTTCGACAAAAGTTGGACATTTCTTTTTTCAAAGTGCAAGGTGTGAATAAGAGGTTTATGATAGGGCTAATACGACGAACTATGCGGCAATCGACTGGGGGGCAGCCCCCCAGCACATCCCGCACAGAGACCTCGTAGTAACCCTACTAGTACCGCCGATGCGATAGCTCAGTCAGTGATTGACAGTCAGTCAGCAGCAGACTTTGACGATTGGTGGCCTCGCGCCCTCAGTCGCCCTCCTCTACTGACGGCCCTGCCCCAGCCCAGATGCCTCATCCAGGGTGGTGCAACCACTCGCGCAGGGAGAGAGAGACAGTCGGCGATCTGCGCCGCGCAGATGAGCTCCGCCTCGTCTGCGTCGAGGACGTCCACCGCAGGGCTATCATAGCGCCATATGACGCACTGCCTGTTGTTCATTACTTCGCAGGTGCCAACGTCGAGGACAATCTCACTGGTGGCGGCTGCACTCCCGGCCGGCGGTAGGAGAGATGAAGGCTAATGTACTTGGCAGTGTACGGGGCCTACCGGCGTGAACAGTGCCCCGGGACGAAAGAGGAGGCGACATCTCTCTCGTCCACGAGCGCCTCGATGTGCGCATCGACGGTGTAACCAGCTTTGAGAGACGGGAATGAACGGCGGTAAGTCGCTGACAGGTGCGCCTTCGTTCCTACCACCACTCCCACCAGTGGAGCAGCTCGTTCGAGCTGTTGAGTGTTGTTGTACTCTGCTGTGGCGCCAGCTCGGTGTACAATACGGACGAAGACGGCCACAGCAACGGTGTAACCAGCGCGAGCATACAGGCAGCGCGAACCGCTGTGCTCGGCGCGCCGGCCGCCGAAATCCTCGCTCGAGTTCTTTGGCATAGGGGAACCCCAAACCCTAAATTTTCTTCGCCTGCGGCAGGCCATCACTTTGATTCGCTGCTTTCGTATTAAATAGCTCTTTCGCACGCCTTTATCAGCAGGTCCGGGGTGAGGGCCGGCCTTCATATCTGCTGTATTTTGATAACTGCGCCTGGCGTACTCTGCTCCGCCACCTGAGCCAGTTGCCGGCCCGGTGGACAGCTCGAGGGGTAGTGCGGTGACGGACTCGACCATCACGCCCATGTTCGAGGGCTCGTCCACGGCGTCGGCCACAGGCGTGCCGATCGAGGCAGGCGAGCCCATGTAGACCGGGATGAGGCACGCGAGCAGGACGAGTAGGATGGAAGCGCCGATGTACGGGCGAGGCAGCGCGGTGACGGACGAGGTGAACTTGACCCACAGCCCGCCGCGCGCCCGTGCCTCCGCCGCATTGCGCGCCGCCGTCTTGGCCTTGAGGATGGCGGGCGTGTCGGTGGGGTTGGAGTCGGGGAAGGTGTCCTCGACCTGGTCGGTGCCGACGCCAGCGACAAAGCCGCCGACGATGCCGTCCGGGTCGAACGTGCGGGTGACAGAGTCGGCCAGCGCCGCCCGCACCTCCTCGTGGTCGGCCGCGGTGGAGTCCGACTTCTTGGCGAAGGGGTCGTGCGGAAGGGTGTGAAGGTCTTCAGTGACCACTCACAAGCTGTTCCAAGGCCCGACAGAAATGTACTGTCAAAACTTTGTTCAAACAATGTGAAGGTCTTCAGTGACCACTCACAAGCTGTTCCAAGGCCCGACAGAAATGTACTGTCAAAACTTTGTTCAAACAAAAGTCCTGGCCCGCGGCCCCCACACCCACAATGACTATCAATCCAGGCTGCGGGTGAAGGGCAAAACCGCGCCGCTGCAGAACGGTTTTTGCAAAACCGCGCCGCAGCGGTACGAAACTGCGCAGATGCAGTCCAGGGGTGGTAAGGACACTATGTGTGTGTGTGTGGCCGTAGACTAGACGGCTGCGCGGTCGTCGGTCTTCAACAGCCCCCCATCCTCGCATCGGGTAGCGAGGCTGAGGATCTGAAGAAGCTAGACGACTCCTACATCTCCTACTATCGCGCGCACAATTGCGCAGCCTCCTCAAGGGTGGAGGACAAACATACAAGTGACTCGGGGAGCTCCAGGAGCGCCCATACTGCCGGTTGTCGACTACATTTGATGAAGGGGAAGTCGGCGTTTCCCCTCTGTGCCGTCCTAGGCGGTGTCGTTCATGATCTCCTTGCGGAACGACTCGAACTCCTTGCGCGGGAGCGGCTTGGTGAAGAAGTCGGCGAAGTTCTTGAGGCTCTCGACGTACTCGACCTTGACCTCCCCGGACTCGACGAGCTCGCGAATCTTGAGCTCCTTGCGCAGGATGTGCTTCGTCTTGTCGTGCATGACCGGGTCCTCGGCGACGCGCAGCGCGGCCGTGTTGTCGATCTTGATGACGGTCGGGCCCTTGGGCTTGTAGCCGAGCGACGCGAGGAGCGAGCGCAGGTGGACCGCCTCGCAAGCCGCCAGCGTGCCGGCAGAGATCTCGGCCTCGAATGTCGAGAGGGAGATGTGACCCTGCTTCTTGGAGAAGTACGAGATGATCGCGGTGCCGATCTTGAAGGCGCAGCCGGAGGTGCTCTGGCGGGTGCACCAGTTCGCGTCGGAGCAGCCGAAGAGCTTGGGGTCGGCAACGCGCTCGTAGTGGAGGCCGAGGTCCTGCGTGCCGATGAGGTAGATGAGGCAGCGCTCGGCGGCGGCCTCGATGTTCGCGTCGGGCCAAGCCATGCAGCGCGCCAGCTGCGAGACGGTGTACTGGATGTCGGGGCGCGCGTTGGTGGCGAACATGAGGCTGCCGATGAGGCACTGGCAGCGCTGGAGGAGCTGCGGGTCGGGCGCGGTCTTCTTCTCGGCTGCGCTGATGACGATGGACGGGAGGTCCTTGTCCGCGGGCACCTTGTAGCCCGCGTGCGTGACGCCTGAGGGGAAGAAGCGCGCGCGCAGCATGTCGATGTACTTGCTGGCAGACAGCTTGAAACCGGTCTGCGTCTTGGTGATGGTGAGCCCGAGGAACTCGTGCACCTTTCCCTCGTGGACCTTGAGCGGCTTGCCGACGTGCTTGTTGAAGTGCTCGATGTACTCGTGCGCGAGCGCTTTGCCAGCGGTGGTCCCGGAGTGGAAGATGCCGAAGTCGTCCACGTAGATGACGACGATGAGTTTCGTGCTGTTGCGGGTGAGGATGAAGCAGCTCGGGTCCGCCTCGGACTGAACGAGCCCAGGAAACGCCTTGTTGATGGACTTGACGTGGTTCCACCAAGCGTTACCTGCGGATGGTGCGCCGTAGAGGTTGCCGACCTCGCACACCATGTCCTTCTCCTCGCCGGTGATGGGGTCGATGTAGCAGTACTCGGGCTTGCCCTTGAGCCCCTTCGGCATCTCGCAGTACCAGGTCTCGCCCTCCCCGCGCTCCGCCCAGGTGTACGCCATGGGCTGGTCGCACGTGATGAGTTCCATGTCCTCCTGCGCGGCCACGTTGAGCACGGTGCGGGTCGTGCCGTAGCGGACGACGCTCGCGAAGGTCTTGGTGAAGTCGACGCCGGGCCGCATCAGGTTGCCCATGACACAGCCGCGCCACTTGCACCGGCCGTCGGACTTCCGGGAGGCGATCTCCTTCAGCGGGAGGACGCGCACCTTGGCGGGGCGGCGCATGGGCTTGAGCGTGCCGTTCTGGATGAGGCCGAGGAACTCGGTGTCATACGCCTTGTACCACGCGTCGCGCAGCTTGGGGTCGCGGATGTTGGCGATGTCCTTGTAGTGCTTGGGCACGATGTTGTCCGGCATGGGCATGATCTGGCCGTCCACGCTCGACATGTACGCGACGCACTGGTCCGTGGTGTTGCGGTAGACCGACGACGATGGGGATGCGGCCGCCGCAGCCGCCCAGATGCCGAAGGGCGTGGCATTGGCGGCGAGGCGGGCGTTGAGCATGTTGTTGTACTCGCCCGTCGAGACGCCGCCGCGGCTGCGAGTGGTGCGCGGCGCAGGCGCACCCGCTGCGGGCGGGTTGACGTTGCCGTCGTTGGCCGGGTCTGGCATGATCACCACCTCCTCGTCAAGGGTCAGCCCCCCGGCGTGGTTGTCGGTGGTGGGGAGGAAGACGGAGTCGCCGCGGGTCACGTTGTTGTCGAGCGTAGCCTTGTCCGACTCGTCGGGCGTCTCGTCCGCGGTCACAGGCTCCGGCCACGCGCCCTCGATGTCCGTCGGGGTGAGGTCGGAGGTAGGAGCACGGTACTCGATGCCGTTCCAGAGCTCGTTGACGCAGAATGTCGCCTGCGTGGTGGTGCCGATGTGCCCCTTGCGCGGACCCTCGGTGATGACGTACTTCCAGCCGGGCGAAGTGCGCGAGATGCCGAGGAAGGCCGCCATCTCGCCCGTGGGTGAGACACCGTTCGCCACAAGGTGGGAGGGCGACTTGACGATCATCTTGCACGCCCACGGGTAGAACATGTTCATCTTGGGGCGCTGCCCGGTCTTGAGCTCGTACGCTGACTTGCCGGTGTCGCGCACGGCGAAGGTGGCGTTGGCGATGGTGGCCGCGTACACCCAGGCGTAGCCCCAGTACTGGTAGAGCTGGGCGGCGCCATGCCCCCCTGCGCGTGCCATCATCTCCCGCACGATCCTGCCGCAGGTAGCGTTCGCACGCTCGCACGCCCCATTCTGCCACGGCTCGTAGGGGCAGCTGTTGCGGAGGGTGATGCCGTACTTGAGGCAGAGCTCGCGCACGGCGCTGGAGTTGAGGACGACCTCGTTGTCGCAGAACGCAACTCCTCCGCGGAACGTGTGGCCGTCCTTTCCCTCGTTCTCGGCGAAGTACTTGCGCAGGTAGGCAGGCGTCTGGCCCTTGGTCTGCAGGATGTACGGCGTGATGGTGCTGGTGTGCTCGTCGACGACCATGAGTGCGTAGCAGTGCCCATCGACGCCTACCACACCCTTGGGCGACCAGAGGTCGTAGTGCGACGAGCCCCCGAAGCGAGTGGCCAGTGGCCGGCCGGTGCTGCGCCGCGCGTGGTACTTGGCGTTCGCCTGCAGCGCGGCGTCGTCGAGGCCCTCGTTGCGGTCCATCTTGGAGAGGTCTGGCACGCCGTCCGCGATCTTGCTGAGGTCCTTTAGCGCGTCGCCGGAGATGCACAGGGCGTGCCGCCAGAAGGTGCCATCCGTCGGGCGCCGCCCCGGCTTGCCGCGCACGATGGCCTTGGCGGCGTTGGCGCCGACGGATGCGCCGAGCGGCATCAGGTGGATGTTGAAGTCCTCCCCGAAGTAGATGGTCTGCCCGGAGGGGTAGTTGAGGCGTGGTGGGCAGAGGTCGAAGCGGACCACGATGTTCTGCGCCTTGCACTCCTTGACGCTGACGAGAGGCATGGCGAGTCCGGGCGCGTACAGCGCGTTCACCCACTCGGTGTTCACAACCTTGGTGTCCTGCGGCTTGGTAGGGTCAGCCAGCGCGAAGGCGTACGCGGTGCCGACGCCCTTCGCCTTGAGGTAGTCGTTGTTTGCGCAGCGGATGTAGATGGGCTTCTCGGGCTCGCGCCACCCGCGAGGGAAGTAGTCGGGCGTCGGGAACATGTTCATGCCCGCCTTGGAGTCGACGCCAGCGGCATACGATCCCGGCATGTTCACACCGGCGGTCGTGTCGTACGCGTCGACGACCTTGACATGCCCGACAAGCGCGTGTGCCTGCATCGCGTCCATGCGCGCCACGTACATGGCGAGCATGATGCACGTGTACGAGAGGACGAGCGGGACCGTCTTGGGCACGTCGATGTTATTCACCGCGCGGAACATGTCGCCCGCGACCTTGCGGTAGATCGGCTGGAGCGGGTCCTCCTCGATGGCGTACTCTGCTCCGCCACCTGAGCCAGTCGCCGGCCCGGTGGACAGCTCGAGGGGTAGTGCGGTGACGGACTCGACCATCACGCCCATGTTCGAGGGCTCGTCCACGGCGTCGGCCACAGGCGTGCCGATCGAGGCAGGCGAGCCCATGTAGACCGGGATGAGGCACGCGAGCAGGACGAGTAGGATGGAAGCGCCGATGTACGGGCGAGGCAGCGCGGTGACGAACGAGGTGAACTTGACCCACAGCCCGCCGCGCGCCCGTGCCTCCGCCGCATTGCGCGCCGCCGTCTTGGCCTTGAGGATGGCGAGCGTGTCGGTGGGGTTGGAGTCGGGGAAGGTGTCCTCGACCTGGTCGGTGCCGACGCCAGCGACAAAGCCGCCGACGATGCCGTCCGGGTCGAACGTGCGGGTGACAGAGTCGGCCAGCGCCGCCCGCACCTCCTCGTGGTCGGTCGCGGTGGAGTCCGACTTCTTGAAGGGGTCGTGCGGGAGGGTGCGGCCGGGGGACTTGGCGCACACCTTCTTGTACGAGGACTGGGCCATGCGCACCTTCGCCTCGTGGTCGATGCGGTCGGGGAGTTCCTCGAGCACCTTGGCGACAGGGACCCCCTTGCAGATGAGGTCGCCGATGCACTTGCCACCGTGCAACCCATTGCAGTGGGGGCACGGCTTGCGCCCAGCGGCTGCGCGGCCGCCGCGGTCCCCGCCGCCCTTGTCGGACTTGATCTGCGCCTGGAGAGCGGCGACCTGGGACTCGGCGGCCGCGAGCTTCTCCTTGAGCACGCCTTGCGAGGCAATCTCCGCCTCGAACGCCGCCTGCGCAGCCGCCTTGGCCTCGTTGGCGCGGTCCGCGTTGTCTTGGTCGAGGATGCCCTGCATCGCGAGCGTGGACGCCTTGAGGCCGTACGTCTTGCCCGATTGCGCGGCGAGTTGGCGCTGCATGCCGATCTGCACGCGCATGTTTGCGCCGAGCGTGGCCCCCTTGGCGGCGATCGCGTCGAGGATGTATTCCTCGATCACCTCGTCGGGGAGGTGCCACTGGGAGCCCTTGAGGAACTTGTTCGCCTGCTCGATGCCCGTCTTGAACTTGGCGAGGCTCGCGGACGTGAGGTCCTTGAGAGCGTCGGGGGAGTACGCCTTCTCGAGATCCGCGCGCAGCGCCTTCGTGCGCACGTTCTTGGAGTTCGTGTCCTCCGACTCGATGAGCGACTTGATCGCCGCGATGCCCTTCTTGATGTCGTCGTAGTGGTCGGCGTCCTCGTCCGCCAACATCTCGGCGAGCGTGTCGTCGTCCTTGACGGCGTTCTGCAGCGCACCGTAGAGTTGGCGCGACAGAGTCACCGCCAGGTCCCCGAAGTACTTGTCGATGATGGCCGGGATGAGGCCGTCCGCAGTGCCGATGTTCTTGTAGCGCACGTGCAGCGCGACCGCCTCGGCCTCGCGCTCCGCGCCCGGCCGGATGGTGCCCACCTCGATGATGTCGAGGAGGTACTTGTGTTGCTTCGCCGCGGTCCGCAGGTTGCGGAACCACTCGTTGAACTCCCGCTCGGAGCTCTGTTTGTAGGCCGGAATCACCAGCTTGTCCGTCGACGACATGTTGTCGTAATGTCCCGGGGATCGTTGCCCCGCCGCCACCAACTGTGAAGGTCTTCAGTGACCACTCACAAGCTGTTCCAAGGCCCGACAGAAATGTACTGTCAAAACTTTGTTCAAACAAAAGTCCTGGCCCGCGGCCCCCACACCCACAATGACTATCAATCCGGGCTGCGGGTGAAGGGCAAAACCGCGCCGCTGCAGAACGGTTTTTGCAAAACCGCGCCGCAGCGGTACGAAACTGCGCAGATGCAGTCCAGGGGTGGTAAGGACACTATGTGTGTGTGTGTGGCCGTAGACTAGACGGCTGCGCGGTCGTCGGTCTTCAACACGTTCACCCACTCGGTGTTCACAACCTTGGTGTCCTGCGGCTTGGTCGGGTCAGCCAGCGCGAAGGCGTACGCGGTGCCGACGCCCTTCGCCTTGAGGTAGTCGTTGTTTGCGCAGCGGATGTAGATGGGCTTCTCGGGCTCGCGCCACCCGTGAGGCGCTGTGACGGACCTGGGGTGTCGACGGGCCCCTGGGGGCGACGGGGGTGCTCTTGGGGGGGGTCCCCCCACCAATCAAGGGGGTCTGGGGCGCAGCCCCAGGAGGCCCGCCGCAGGCGCCGATTTTTTGGGGCTTTTTTGACTGATTTTCATGAGGTGTTGCTACTATTTGGGGACCAAGTTGAAGCCTAAAAATGGCTACAAATACAGCCACAACAGCTGCTAGTCGTGAGCTGCTACTGTGTGGCAGAGCCCAGAGAGGGCTTTCAGGAGCACTATTCAGTATGATCCAGCTCAACGTTGCGGAGTAGTAACACTGTTCCGTTACCGTGAGCGGCCGGCGGCCGGCGGCGGCCGGTGCGGCACGCGGAGCACTCCGTGAGCGGTGACGGGTGCGGACGAGCAAATGAGAGGTTCCTTTCAGTGAGAGATAGGCAGTCCTAGTCTCTAATAACACATCTCCCACAGATAGCGACCTCTCATTCGCTCGTCCGCGCCCATCACTGCTAGTCGGGGCACTCCCGGCGTGCGGCCCGGTCCCGGTCGTCACTCCGGTTGCTCGTGTTCACACCGTCAGAACTCAGCTCCGCTAAGGATCCAGCGCCTGAGACTTGGGCATCATACACAACTTTTGTAGTAGAGCACAATGGCACCCTTGGATCAAGCCGGGTGCACCCGGACCCACCCGGAGGGGCCCGGGAAGGGTCTAGCGGCCCTCCAGCGGCCCCCAACGCCCCCCCGCGGCCCTGTTTTGGTAGTGTATCACACATATGTTGTGTCACTATCATACCCACGACCCAGGGTACCCGAGCGCTCCCGAGCAGCTATAAGGTCGAGCCGCTGGAATGCCTCCTCCAGTGGCACCCAGTCGCGCTCGAGGTACGGGAGGAGCATATCATACAGTTTCACTGCCCGAGCCTGCAGCTTGGCACACTCGTGGCACTTGTCCTCGTGGGCGAGCTGAATCCCGTAAACGTTCCGCATATCATCGAATTGCGCCTCGTTCAGGCCGGCGTCGATCATCCGACGGGTCACCCGACGTTCGAAGACGCTTTCCCGATCGCTGTCCGAAGACGCGTCGTCGGGACGGGAGTCGCTGGCCGGCAGGTCCTCGACCGCCGGCTCCTCCTCGACCGCGGGCTCCTCTGGCGTGGGCACGTCCTGCAACGTTTCTGGAACGACAGCGAGAAGCGCCTCCGCGCCCGCCTGCCGCCGCTTGCACTTGCCCAACTCCTTGTCCACGCCGCTCGCGTGCGTCTCGAGCCGCTTGCCGTACACGACCGCCTGCTCGAGTCGCGCGCCCGCCAGCTCGCCGCGTAGGTCCCACACAAGGTACGCCAGCGCAGCCTTCTTCAGGTTCTTTATCTGGAGAGCCATCAGCGCGCCGCGCCGCTGCGACGAAAAGAGCGTGTTTACGGCAGCTTTCGCGGCGATGATGATGCCGTTGGTGACCTCGCCGACGATGCTGACCTCGTTGGAGGGTGCGGGGACGGGTTGGTTGCCGAGGAGCATGGTCTCGAGGCGATTTAAGAGCGCGGTGGGCTCCAAGGCGAGCTGCGCCGAACTGGAGCGAGTCGGCCGCGCCCGAATTGCTGGCACCGCATCGGCGCCGGTCGAGTCCGACACGACCGCGGTCTTCTCCACCGGCTCGAGGTTCGCCATCCGCGGCGCTGCACCGCGGATTCGAACGGCTGCTCGCTCCTGCTCGGCGGCTGGCCTGTCAGCACGGCGCTTCGAGAGGGCGGTCGCCGTCGGTGCACGTTGACTATCATGGCGAGCGAGCAGCCCCGCAGTGAGTGGATGCAGCCCACCGGAGGTACTGTCTGAGGTGGGGCCCGGCGCGTGAGGCTCGTCGGCGTCCGCCATCACCGCCTGCGGCCACTGCAGAGTCGGCCAAACCAGGCTTGATTTTGGCCATTTTGGCACGGACCCTTGCGGACTCTTCACAGCTGGGTCCCGGTGCACCCGGAGTGGATCACTTCATTACTGGACCGTACTGGAGGTCCCCGTTTTCGGCCGCCGCGGCCGGAGAGCACCCCCGTCGCCCCCGGGGGCCCGTCGACACCCCAGGGTGACGGACCGCGAAGTGGCGGTCGGGGGGGGTGGACATGCTCCCATGTTGCCGACGCGGCGCCGGAGTGGCCGGCGCTGCTAGCCGCGACCACGACGGCTACTCCGATGCGCCGGGCCGACCCGTCCTACCGACGGTGGCACTCTTCCACGTCTTTCTCACGCGGAGAAAAATTCTGAAACGGCGTGCAGCAGAGTCGCCGACGAGTCGGTGCGCGTCCGTGCCTCCTCATGTCGCGCTTCGTTCTCACCCATCCATAAACTCACTTTGGCCTCACTAGATATAAAGCGAAGGCTGAATCCTTAATCCTCATATTTTAGATTAGGACGCTGTGGGCCCTCTAATAGAGCCTCTAAATAGCAGATCCGATCCGAGTACCGAGACGCGGGCTCTCTCATAGCAGCCCATAACATGTTATGGGCTGCTATGCCCCGAGAGCCATAACACCATAACAATAACTGTGAGAGTGCGTGTGCGAGGGCCAAGACGCATTAGCGCGGGCGCGGGCGGGGCGCGGAGGACCTTAGTCCTTACTTTTTGATTTTGTATTTTGAGCACAACACGAGACCTACCGTGGCTGGGTTCACAGCGAGTAGGAAAATGTCGAAAACACTTGACGGTCGCGGCCTTCCGACTCGCGCCTCCGCCTCACTGGCACTATTGTAGCCCTAGCCGGTGCGCGTGCAGAGTTGAAGTTCCGGAGTGAAAATTCGAACGCGTTCTCTCACGGTGACCAAAAAATGTCCACCTCAGAGGCACCTCCGGAGGCAGGCCGCCGCACGCCGGCGACACAGCTCCAGCTGTCGAACTGACCCGCAGCTCCTCTCATAGCGGGAACTGTGACAAAAGTTGACTGAGGCGGTTGTCAGGAATCATCATACGGATCACATGGTGGCTCTCTCATGACGGGAGACCGCCCGACCACTCCTGGGTGGCACTGCCACCGGTGTCCCTCGACGTCCTGTCGACAGCGTGCCGACAGCGACACAGACCATGTGGGACGCGTCGAGTATCGACCTCTACTGCTTACCCAGCCTTCGAGTGTATCCTGGCTGTGGTCCCACACCCACTGGTGTCCATCTCAGAGACCGCAGGAGGTCATGAGGGTCGATGGGAGTGCCAACCCCACAATGCCTAAAAACCCAGCCCAGTAGCACGAGACAACACCGCGTTGAGTTAATTTGCAGAGTGTTAAAAACGCTGAAGGTCGTGCGGTGCGGCGCTTGTTATGGGGCGCGCCACCGCGGGCCCGCTTACTGCGCCGACACTGCCCGACTCTAGACTTGCGCTGGCCGCAAGCTTCGACACCACCTACTTTTACCGCGTCCTCGGCTGTGTCGGCTCGCTGCCCTGCGCCTGCCGCTACGCAGAGCAAACCTCCCGATCGGCAACAGTTCGGTCCTGCAACCCGCAGCTCCAAACCACATGCCGACACCCCCCTCCGCCACCTAACCATCGCGTGTTCGCGAGCATCTCACACCGTGATGAAGGATTTGATGGGGCAGATCTGCTTTCGCCGCTTGAAGCCTGCCGCCGCAGCTCGGTCTTCCGCCGCCGCGGCCGGAGCGGCGTTGGCGGCGTTGGCGGCGCGCGCAGCCTCGCGCGCCTGTTTCGTGGGGAGGCGCGACGGTGACGAAAGGCAGTCAGGGGCGGGAGGGAGGAGCGGTAGGGGGAGGGCCTCCATCGCAGCGTTGTAGTCCGCCGCCGCTTTCTTGTATAGCTGCCGCATCTCTGCGGTGGCGCCTGAGGGCGCGAGGGGGGGGGGGGGGGGGGGGGGGGGAAAAAGGCCCCCCCCCGGCCAGTTTTGGGAAATTTGGTTGGGAGGGGGGGGGGGCCCCTTTTCGGAGGGGAAAATTTTTGGTTAATTTTTGGAAAAGGGCCCTTTTGGGAAAGGAAACCGGGGGGGGGCCCCTTGGGGGAAGGGGGGCCCTGGGGGTCCCCCTCCACCCCAAATTTTTTAAAGGGGGACCCGTGAAAAGGGCCCCCTGCAAAGTTTGCCAATGAAGCGGAGAGGGCGCCGTACCTTCTTGGAGGGCGGCTTAGTCGAGCACGCCTTGCCGGCGGCCGGGCTCCTGCGGCCGCGCGTTTCGCAGGTGCTGGCGGGTGGCTGTGTGCGGTGTGCAGTGCGTGTGAGCGTGTGTGTGCGCGCGCATGTCTACGGGTGGGGGTCTGGGGCGGGGAGGTGGTGTGGAGGAAGCGAGGGAGCAGCCGGCGCCATGTCGACAGGTTGGGCCCCGGGATGAGGTCCTCGCGGCGCGGCCACTTGACGTACCTCACCTGGTACTTTGTGCCGGAATCCGCGTCTCCCGCCTTGGGGGGGGCGGCGGGGGCGGGCGGGGGGCGGGGAGCAGGTCAAGTTGTGTGCAGAGGAGGTAATTGGGATGTATCAAATGGGCGCAGGTGCCTTGATGATCTCAACCTCGTAAGAGACCGAGCCGAGGGTCGCGATGGCCTTCTCGCCGTCGGCGAGACCGCCGCCGTCCACCACCATCGCGGCCACGCCTTCGCCTTCGCCGCCATCGCCGCCGCAGCTACCGCCGCCGCAGCCTCCGTCACCGCCGATGCCACCCTCGCCGCCGCCGCCGCCGCCACCGCCGCCGCCGCCGCCGCCGCCACCGCCAACCTCGCCCGCGTCGCCACCGCCGCCGGATTCGTCTCCGCCTCCGTCTGACGGCGTCTCGGCGAGCTGCCGCGTGCAGTTTCCTGCGCCGGTGAGCTTCACGCGAAGCTGGCGCGGCGGTGGTGATGGCGCCCCCTTCCGCCCCTCCTCCTCGTCCTTGGTCCTCTTGCGCCCGCGAGCGGCGGCCTCTGCCGATTCGGCGCCGTCGATGTCGTCGGGGGACTTCTTCACCTTTTTCGGAGGCATGTTGGGCGCGGGTGGTGTGTTGGCCGTCGCACACGCCTCCCCGGTTGCCCCCGCTCTTCAGGGTCCTGTACCTGGACGCTGACATGATTTGCACAGTCAGCCTGCTCCCTCTGCTGTCACTCCCCTTTGCGGGACAACAGTGGGCTGCACTTGCGGAGGAGGCTATGCCGGGTCACTATAGATCAATCTACCGGAGGCTCCCCAACATCCACGCAGCCAGTCGAGGACTCAACACAGTGAGCGGCCGGCCGACCCCGCGCGCGCCGCCCATGTGTGTGTGCAAGCGTGATTCCTGAAACTGCCCTCGGGCGCGCGTAGGGCACTATTCTCTTCGATCCGCGTCGATCCGGCCCGCTGCTCCAACTCGCACGGACGTACAACGATGCACCGGAACTGTACAGAAAGCGCCTTCACGTTTCTGCAAGCGCGCGCATCGGCGATCAAGGAGGATGGGACATGTAACATCGACTCGCTGGCCCAGCCTCTCATGCCCACATCTTGCGTTCACATCGCACCACGGGAGCAGGTTTGACCAGCACGTGATCAACATTTACTTTCGCGACCATCCCGAGGAGCGCAGATACAATCGGGACACGCAAAGACGAACCTAGCACGGACGCGGGCACTGGGGCGCGAGGGAGAGAGAGAGAGAGAGGCTGTGGACGGATACGCCTGTATAGGAGCTCAAGCTGCTCGACTGCCGCTACAACATGCGGCACAACTCCAATTGCAATGCGAGCCGCGGCACCTTTCAACGGCGGCAGAGGGCGATGACTCTCTGTGAACAGCGTCAGCTCACGCCTCCCTCCTGTGCACAGGCCTCTTTCACGGCAACAACCACATCTTTGAGCGGCCCTTGGGCTGGTGGTGGGGCGCGAGAAGTCTGAAGCATGACCTCGAGGTCGCAATCGACGGTGTTCCAGGATTGGACTGCCTCGCGAAATTCCTGCGTTCATTGCGAACCAATCAGCAGATGCTGCTAAATGTCTCATGCCCGCTTCCTGACCTACGAGCAGCAGTGGCGACAGATCAGGGGAGCAGCTCCCCACCGAGGGCAAGATAAAGAGAGAGGAGCGGACGCTAAGACAGGAAGAGCGTTTTGAGTTGTACGACCTGACGCCCGCTACCTCTTCGGCTGCTTGGCGGACTTCTTGGCGCGGCCCTTGTGTAGGTAGCCGTGAGAGTGTGTGATATAGACACACGCACACACAGCCGGTTTGAGCCGCATTGAAGATAACCTTGTGCCTTCCTTTTGCCTGTGGGCTGGCTTCCGGCACCTGCCCTCTGGTCTGCGTGTGACTCCCGGGGAGAGGTCGAGCCGCTTCGCGCGCACATAGAGTCTTGGATAGAGTCGCTGTCGACGTGTCAACACCGCGTGGCGCTCTCTGCCACCCCTCAAAAGCTCATTTGTAGCGCCAGTTGCAGAGGAACTGCATTAACATACACTCGGATCGATGATACGGCGAGGTATCACACGGGGCGCGGGGCGAGCCACAACATCACCGGCTCGCGGAGCAGGGACCGCAGACGCACAAGTGACTGCACGGCACCGCGAGGTGAGACTTCGGCCGCTCTATGATGCACGGCGTCTCGCCTCCCGTGGTGGACTCTGGTGCAGCCGGTCGCCCCGTGTCGAGGCTGGCGTCCGCTAGTGAGACGGCAGCAAGCGGCTCAGTGACGGGCAGATGCTGCTCCGCCGCCTCTGCCGCCTCTGGCTCGATCAAA